GTGTCCCATATAAGTATTTTATGAACTATGCTGGCTTCCAATAGGCTTCCAGGTGCAATTCAAGGTGCTGGTTGTCATCTACAAAGCCCTACATAGCACAGGAGCTATTTATTTATTTATATGGCCCAATGATTCTGGGTGGCATACTAGTTTAAAACAGCAACAATTTCACAATCCAAACCACAACACCCAAGGTTAAAACAATAATCCCCACTTATTAAAAAAACAAAACAAAACTTTAACAGAGCTCACCTAACTTCTGACTTAAAGCCTTGGGGAACAGCCAGGTCTCTGTTCCACATGCCTTCATAGGATGGGCGTGCTCCAGGTCCTCCCCTTGAGCCAATGTATTCTCATGGGACCAAGGGAGCATATCTTTTCTGTTGCAGTATCTGCCCTTAGACTAATCCTGCTCCCTCATATTTGCATAGCCCTGACCAAATTAGCCTTCATGAAAGTTTTAAAAACTGGGCTTTTCTCCCAGGTGCTGGGCCAGGATGATAGATGAATCTGTTTTCTGAGAGGGGAGTGTAAAACTGGTGAGCTATGTGATTTTTGATGGGATGGCTTATGAATTCCATTTTTATACTGTATGGCTTTTAATTTGCAATGTTGCTTTTGGATTTTTTATCATATACAATACCTGGAATCACAATGATATAAGCTGGGCAACTATATAAATATTCTAAAGAATTAAATAAGAACCATACTACCCCCATATCTCTGTTCCACCAAAGATAATCCACAAGTGCAATCAATTATCTCCATACTGTGTTCCACCCTGAAACCTGATTCAGATGGGTTCAGATAATTTGCTTCTTCCAGAACTCTCTGGAATTCTAGTCCTACCACCTTCTCAACAACCTTACCCAAAAAGGGAAGATTGGAGACTGGATGACAATTGTCCAAAATCATTGGACACTCTCTTTAAAGAATGATTTTACTACTGCATGGCTTCAACTACACATCAACTCCTGGAAGGTCTTAATTAACCAACAGGGATGTAGTTTTAATTAAACAAGTGGTCAGACTAATAGTCACGAAAATCCAAAGTCACAGGATCAAACACTTCACAGGTAACAGGACCTGCCCAGGCAAAATCTAACTCAGAGTGGATCCAAGCAACTTTATCTGCCAGATACCTAGGGTATTCTTCACACAGCCCTGAAATATTCTTGTGACCAATCCTTCTAAGCAGGGAATGGGCCTGAAATGTTCTTGTGACCAATCCCTCCTCAGCAGGGAATGGGTCACTTTGAATGGGGCCTCTGGCAAGCTATCTGCTGATGCAGTAAGAGCAGAAAAAAAATCTCGTTTTCTACCATGCATTTATTTACTAATGCAGGTGTATGGATTCTTTGGCAATTGACTTGGAAATTTGCTCCAATTGTGTTTTGTATCCCCTTTATGTAATGAGTTAACACCTGCAATGAGTTAAAAAAACTCTTCAGCCTTAAGAAGATTTTTACTGTCTTCAACAATGCAGGCTTGTGGCATTGGTGGAGCTACCATACGCAAGTATTGATGGAATGGAGGATTTTGGAATAAAGAGACATTATGCATGCCCCAGAATTGACCTTAACTAGTTGCTAAGATCAAAGTGGAAAGATAGGCTGCAGCTGTGGACCTTGTTAACATTCTTTCCCTTTGAAATTGACAAGGTTTATCAGTTAAAGCTGGGAAGAGGGAAAAGCAAAAGTGGACAGTGGGATCTCCTTGGGGCAGGAACAGGCTGTGCTCACTTGCTAACAAGAAAGAGAGATAAGAAACCAACTATCTCATTTTTCCCTTGGCAACATCCAGCACCCACCTTCTGGGCATTAGTACCCACCTTTTTTTTAGGAGTGTTTTAACTGTGTATACCAATAAAATTGCATTAACCAAAGGTGTAATTATTTTCTGATTGTAGCTGTTTAAAAACCCAATGATTTGCATGGGGCTTTGCGCTTTACCTGGAAAACTTTCCCAAGTGCCCTTTCTTCTGCAGAATAAAGTTATTAAAGAGATGTCTGACGTGTGTTAATTGGCACGCATGCCAGGTCCAACGAATCCAGAGTTTCCTGGGACAACAATTCCTGGTGCCCAACATGGGGCTTTGCCTAACAGCTGTACCTGGTTCATGGCTCCAGTTACGGAGGGGAGGGGAAATCAACACTCGTGGTCAGTGCACACTGGACCCAATTATTCCAGGATTGCTGATCTTGATTCCAGCCCCAAGTCGGATGGTCCAGGACTCAAAGGCATAATGCCATCTCTGGAAATCTCTACCAAGAGTAAAACTGATGGGTTGTTGAGGGCTCACCTTTTCAAAGTTCTTCTGCACATTGACAGGTGAGTATCCTTGGCTTTGAAAACCACTGTTAGTAAGTCCAGTGTAGTCCTTAACACCTGGGGATGCCACAGTTGAGGTAGAACTCACCAGCATCTGGGGAATGCTGTGGTCGGGGTAGAGCCCGCCAGCATTTGGAAAGCCCTGCGGCTGGGGTACAGCCCACCGGCGTCTGGGAGGTGCCAAGGTTGGGGCACAGCCTGCTGGCACCTGGGGTATCAAGGTTGAGACCCCATAGATATTGCTTATTATTGGGTCTTGGGCAGAGATGAGTAGCAAACAATATGTGTTCTGGGTAAGGCAAAAATTTGAAGGGGATGCCCTTGGGGTACATGCTGTCAGACTTCAGAGAGCTGGGAGGTGGTGACCCTTTAACTAAATGTCAGCTAATATGGTTGTGTAAAAATGTTTGGCTATGGTATAAGCTGGAAAGTGAACTTAGGTGACCACCTGAAGGATCCATGGATTATAGCACCATAGTGCAGTTAGTGCTATTTGGTAGAAAGGTTGGAAAATGGGATGAGCACATGTATGCTGAGATGTTTATGACTATGTGGAGAAATAAGTCGATGATGAAAGATTGTAAATTAATAGTCCCAGCTTTAGAAGATAAGGGGAGGAAACTAAGCCAAAAGTTTTTCAGGGAGATGAAAACTTGGCCAGGGATGATGAGGGAATGCACCACTAAACCCTGTAAACTCTCTGCCACCATTATATCTCTCACTGCAAAATTGACAATATGATGATCCAATGCCTAGCTTGCCACCACTGCAGCCTGCATGGGTTATGCCCCCGTGGCTATAGAATGATGCCCTACAGGCTCAAAACCACCAAATGGGTTTTTCTCCCCCTCATTTGAGACAGGACAGAGCCAAACCAGGGGATTATAAGGGAATAATGCCTTTTAGACAAGCACCCCTCCCTAATCAACAGTTGATTCATGGACAAATGCCACAGACTATGTCCATAACCCATTTTCCACAGCTGATTTATGTAAGTGGAAAAACAATGCCCCATCTAATTGGGATGACTCTGATCGAATGCATTCTTTGTTTTAGCTCTATTTTTAAAACACGCCAGCCAAATTGCGTTGATTGTGTGAGCTTAATGGATGTTCTGTTAAATCCAGAAGAAAAAAGAATGTTAACAGAAGAGGCTAAAGAGGAATGTCAAAGGCTTCATACCACTGATAATAATAATGAACCTGCTGAAGCACAATTATTCCCTGATGAAGACCCCAACTGGGATGACAACAACCTAGATCACAGAATTATGCTAGGGAAACAGAAGATGTTTGTTAGTGGGACTTAAAAAAGGGATTCCCAAGCAGAAAAATATGTCAAAAGTGTACCAAGTGAGGCAAAATCTGGATGAAGATCCGGACATTTTTCTGGAAAGAATTTACAAGGGATTCAGGCAGTTTACTGATCTGGATCTAGAAACTCCCAATAATCAGAGAATGATTAATTTGCTCCTGATATGCGGAGGAAATTACAATAAATGGAGGGAGCTGCTGCAATGCCTATTTCCCAATTAGTGGAGATTGCTTTTAAAGTTTACACCAATTGGGACAGAGTGGAAGAAAGGAAGGAAGAGACAAAGACTAGAAAGTAAGCCCTGTTTCTAGCTGCTGCAATATGGGGGAACTCCCCAACATCAGTGGGATCTCCCCAGGGCAGGAGCAGGCTGCACTCGCTCACTTACAAGAAAGAGAGATAAGAAACCAACTACCTCATATTTCCCTTGGCAACATCCAGCGCCCACCTTCTGGGCATTAGTACCCACCTTTTTTAGGAGTATTTTAACTGTGTACACCAATAAAATTGTATTAACCTATTATGTAAAGATTTTCTGATTGTAGCTGTTTAAAAACCCAATGATTTGCATGGGGCTTTGCACTTGATTTGGAAAACTTCCCAAGTGCCCTTTCTTCTGCAGGATAAAGCTATTAAAGAGATTTCTGCCCTGCATGTTAATTGGCGCACACACCAGGTCCAACAAATCTTACAAATCTGAAGTGATTCTTTTATTATTTTTTGCCAGTGTGGCTCTTGTCATACTGAACGAGTTAGTGTCTGTTTCCATACCAAATGTCTGTTTCCACACTGTCTGTGTCTATAGTGTCTGTTAATTAATGAAAATTAATTTAATAACTATTAAACTATAATATCACTCAAATAAATGTTTATTTAAATAATGTACTTTAATCTTTTATTTTGCTCTGCTCTCAAAGTATAAAATGGACCAAAAAATTCTTTGAAGGAGAATAATATCAAAAGTTCTTCCCTGTTCACTCTTGTGGCTATTATGTGTTTTCAGCTCACTTTTTTCTGTTTTCACAATGCTTAAGTGTCTACTTGTACTAAAACAACAAGAGCCCACTACATGTAATTCCCACAGATGAAAAATAGTGCTATGATAATTCTGTTATAGCAATATGGGGGCGGGGGTAGGGAGAAACCCTCTGTTGAATAACTCAAGTGTTCATTTATTTCCTATGAATACAAGATATGTACATTCCCCAAACCTATGGTGATTTTATTTACAGAACCTAATTATACCAAGTTATACTAGGACATCTTCAGAACATAAAAACCTGTCCACTGCAAAGGTGCAAAATCACTGTGGTTTTCTGACTCTATACAGCAATGATAAATTTCTGTATACTCACAGATGTAGAAATATTCCCGGCCTGGCCTGAACTCAAATCCTAATGAGAAGGGAGTGAAGAGTTGGAATTTTTCTGAAAACTTCAATGGTCCATTTGGAGAATGAGGCCGATTGCACTCCCACCTCTTGAAACCTTTGGAGGTATGATCACAGGAGCTGTAGCCATCAAAGTTCACCATGTAAAGTATATACCGTTCAGTCTTATCTTCTGGCACCGAATCCTCATAATGAGGACAGAATACATCCAAATAGTCATTGATGCAGACATCAATATGATAATCTCCTCGCTGGAATCTAAAAATAAAATCAAGACAAAACCAACTCAGGCAATTTTCTAAAAAATATATTACACCTTAATGAAATGGAGCAATTCCTTCAGTAAAACATTTTTTTTTCCCTGAGGGACAACTTAAGTAATAATTAGATCAGTTGTTTTGAATTAACTGTCCTTGAAAGGAAGGGCCTCACCCAGTCAGATCTTTCACCCTTACAAAATTATTTCTGTACAGTAGTCTATTTCCCCAATCTGTTCACTTCAGAAGTGAATCTCCTGAAGTGAAGTTTTTTTTTTTTTTAATTAAACATGTGTTAGGGTTGGAACTTACATAAAGTATAAATACCTGTTTGCAAACAAACCAGGATGCATTATTTTTGTATCACAACCAAAGCTAATTGCAGGGATATGCATTTCCTACAACGCTTATTCATCTTGACTTTTTCTTAACAGCTGGCAACAGTTAAGATCCAAGAAAACCCTAGTATGCCTTTGAAATATTTTTGAAAAGCAATATAATTCCATTGCCAAAGTGCAGAGAAGAGATACTGCTGTTCAGATAAAAGAATTCCAGGCTATGAATTATCAGCACTCACCTGACAGTTTGGAATGAGAGCCAGATGAGAAAGGCAGTACAAGGCACTTTTACCAATGCACTTTTGTTATCAGCAGTGGTAAGCAGTATTAGTTGCAACAGTTGTAAGGCTGTTTCTGCTGTCATTGTAATAATGCAGCAGCTTAGTACTAGGTAAGGCTAAAACAATTCATTTCAAACTCTTAGCAGGATACTGCAGGGTGAATTTGTAAATTGCCCAAGATATTCTTTTAACATACAGATTGCAGCTGAATCTAACTTGGTAATACAGTATTTGCTCACATACAAACTTAGGTAGGATTTGATATTTAGGGTGATATATTCTTGGAATATTTATCAAACACATTTGCTGTACAAAGTAGACAAGTTCCACTGGGACACACTATTCAAATGTAAGCACCATCAGCCAACAGATTATGATTGTATCATACAGTCCCTATTTTACCTAAAATACAAAAACTATTTTGTTTTCTGTAACAGTGAGTATATGAGAGGTATAGTACGATTTCCTGTTTTTCTGAAAGGCAACCATTTGGCACATATTGCACATACTATGGATGGCATATAGCTATAGATAATATAGATATAATTTATTTATTTATCATAGGGGCAAACCTTCCCACCATGTATTTACTGGTCACCACTACCTTATCATTATCTGTGGCTTCTATTCCTTGACAGCAGGCTATCTGTCAAATGCACAGAGAGTAATAAAGACACTGTGACATATTTAACTATAATGATCCTTGTCACCTGAGGCACATATTTTAAGCAGCTGATGGATCTGAAATCTGCCAACTGGATTCTTCTATTTAATTTGGGAAGAAAAGCAGTAATAATATAGCTTTCTCCAAGGATATAGGCAGAGAAACCTATTTAACCCTTAACATTATTTTGCTTCTGAAAAACAGGCTTTTAACAGAAAAAAATTGGATGTAGTACAGAAAGGAAGTCCAGATAAATTCTAATTCTGCCAATACACACTAATATATAATATATATTTACTTTGTCTTAAACATTAATGTAAATTAGACATAGAGTTTTTCTTCACTGGAACCCCCAATCTCTCCTCTCCTCTCCTCCCTTCCACCCTTCCTTCCTTCCTTTCACAAAAAAGTAGCTGGGATAATCTCCCTGCCTCACTTTATGGTCATGTCTAAACTTTATCAGCAAAAGGGAAGGTTTAACCTTTTCCTATATCAGTAATTCCTCCTCCCCAATATTGCAATTTGTCCTTGTAAGTATGGCTATTCTGTTTCCAGTGGTTATATTTTACCACTGAGAGAAAATAACTGTTTTTTGAAGGAAACAGTAAATAATTAACTTCTTTTCTCTGTCTTCATCTCATCTGGGGACACACACACAAAGAGGCAGGATGGCAAAATCCCCATCTTGACAGTAAGGTCTTATACCACATCTACTCTGATCCTTAATCAAGAGACCTCACCATAGTACTCTAGTAACTCTCTATAAAAATGCTACATGAAATAAATGGCTTTGATTAACATTCTACTTTTATTTATACTCTACTTCCTACGGCAAAGCATCTCAGAGTAGTTGACAATAAAAACAGCTATAAAAACATTTCACTATAGTAAAACAATATTCAACAAAAAGTAAACCATGCTCATTAAAAAGTAACGGTTGAAAAATATTTAACATTCATACTAAGAATGCCTGGGTAAAGAGGTATATTTTCAGCGGGTCTCTAAAAGCTCTTATAGCAGGTTTCTGAATTTCAAGGTGGGGATAACATTCCTGAGCACAAGCACCACCATACAGAAGGCATGCCCACAAGCACCTGCCAAATGGAAAACAGCAACTCTTGGTTCATGTGGTAAGATCTCCGCTCATACCTATTTATCTCAGTCACTGCCCAGATTTATAACAGTGACAGTGATCTAACAGTTCTTCTGACCCCAAGTTGCTTAGCATCTTGTATATCACAACCAAAAACCAGAACCTGGTTTGGTGGCTAAATGGAAGCCGGCACAGTTCTCTCACAACATATGGATGGCCAGATGCCCCATTCAGCATCCTAGCTGCTGCATTCAATTTGGAATAAGTGCAAATGTAGTCCTACATAGAGGGTATTATAGTAACTACGTTGTCCCTACCCAGGAAGAGGTATAATTGGAATACCAACTGAAAGTGGGAATTGATACTCCTAGGCACAAAGGTCATTGTTCAGTGGCAATGATGACTCTAACCCCCTCCCCCAAATTATGTACTTGTTCTTTCTTAGTGCAATCCCATTCAGAACAGGTAAACATCCCAATTACTGAACCCGTGAACACTCTACCACCACACCACTCCACATCATTCTATCAGGATTCAGTATCACTTTATTAATCCTCAAAACCCTATCACTGGATCCAGATATTGGTTCGGGGCACTCACATACCAATGCCACCAATTTTCAAAGCCATTAAACACTGGGTACAAAATATTGCCTTGTTATAGCATACCTACTATAATCCTGTGCCATTAAAAATGTGAATTGCTTTACAGAGATGTGTAAATTAAATTACTAATATATTTGGGAAAACACCTAAATTAAAAATACAACAAATTGTACTCTCTTCCAAACTAACGTAGTGTGTACGCAAAAGTTGAAATGTACTGACAACCTTAAAGGATTTTATTTAAACCTATTTTTATACATCCCATCACAATAATTTTAGAGAACCCTCCTTAATTACATGCTTACATGAATGCCTAGAAAGCTAACTTCTTAACATAGTTCTTTAGGCATTAAAAATAAATACCCATCTATACTAAACCAGGTGAAACTGTAATTTAATATAGAAATACACCAGCACTTTCTCCCAAAAAGACATGTTCAAGAACTAAAACAAAATGATCCTCCTAATAATGCCATTTGCCTTCTTAGGCTATCTGTTTTGTACAGGAAAGCACAAAGCTGATCTTCAAATATAATTGACCTTTACAGTTTAGGAAAGTGATATTCATACAACAGCACAAAAACTTGCACACTACTGAGAAGGAGGATAGGCAGTAGAATTTTAAAGAGGCATACCAGAAATAGATAGTTAAGTAGCTCCCAATCTAAATTATCTCTCTAGCAACCAAATGAGAATTTATTTCACTAAAACTCACACTGATATTAGACCCACACAGATTAATTTAGGCCAGCAATAAAGTTTCCTAGATGCTTGCTATTTGTTTCAAAGCCAGGAATGCTGAATGTGGTGAAAAGTGCCCAATGCAGTACTTTTAAACAGGGGAATGCACATATGGACAACATGGTTTGCAATTAATTCCAACAGTCTGTTTATCTGTCATTACAAAACATATGCACCCTCAGTACTGTGTGCCTTTTTTTCATGACTGCACTTCTGAGGGATATGCAAATCATGACTTGACTCTAATAATTCTATTGGCTGTGGATTGAAAAGATAATCTATTTAACTATTCAGAATCTTTTAACATTTTGCATGCATTGATCCCTTTCACATTACTCTCTTTAAAAAAGAAACACCATACAACCATGCATTAAAAAAAAACATAACTAGACACTAATTGTCCATTATCACATAGATGGGGAAAAAAGACAATAGCTTCTGCTTGGGGCTCTTCCATACAAATCAAATATATATTAGTCACATTTTGCATTTTAAAGTGCATAGCCTAACAGTACAACTTCTTATTAAACTGAGTACCCCCTATTTTTTGCTTTCATAGCAGGTTTTCTCCTTCAGCAGATAATTTGCTTTATAGACAAAGAACCCAGTTTAACATGTTGATACATATTCAAAACACTGCAGTGATGCTGATGCTCAAATCTCAGATCCCTCACTATCAGCGAGGACAAAATAGTAAAAATAAGGGTAGATTTGAAAGTCCCTTGCAATACACCACAAACAGAGTTTTAGACCAGAGACACTAACTCGTTTAGGATGACAGAAGATTTCACTGGCTAAAGTACACTACTACAGATGCAAAACAACTGTATTTTTATTTACCAGACATATATACGCCTATCTGTGCATTGGGTAAAATTATAAAATTAGAGGATGATGAAGAGCAATGGTGTCCAGAGTAGGAAAAAAGCTATTTACAACAGCAGCTTTGGATGATATCCTAGCATGACATCTAATGTGACAGAATTGTTTAAAAAGTAAAATATTGTGATTATTTCTAAATTAGTTTAATTAGAGCTACCAGAATTGTGATGCAAAAACCTGGATAATCACTAGAGAGCAGCAAAGGATCCTTTACTATATATTTTGCTGCCCTCTAGTGGTTGTCTGTATTTTTGAGCCTAGATCTAATAGCCCTTAGTTTAATGTATAAACCAACATTTAACCACTTAGCTACACTATGGTTCTCATAAATAATTTTTAGTGATTTTGCATAGTACTTGCAGACTTAATGAATTCAAACTCATAAACCATCCAATAT